CACCCACCCAAACAAAAACAAACCCCAACACCCCACCCCACCCCCCAACAACAAAAACCAAAACCGCAGCAAAAAAAGCCCTGACCAACCAAACATTTAGAGACGGGAAGCCCTTTGGCATGTCCCATCTCAATCAGATTTTGTTTTCAGACTCTGGCCAACATAAGGTCCCATTGCAGTGTTTGCAGGTCCCTCTTGGGTCAGTTGAATAAGGATCCTTGTTTTTGCTAGCTTACAGCATTGGAATTGCCTAATAAAGTGTGAGAAACATTCACCTATGTAGTTTTTAAGAGAGGACAAAGTCTGTGAAGCAAAGGTTTATTTCAGCGCTGGGTGCACGGGAGATCACCTCTGTGATCCTCCTGCATGCACACTGGTTAGTCTAACTTCCACAAATTTATTTAGGACAGTCATTCATATTCATGTCATTTCTCAGAAGTCTTATACATATTTAAATGATTTCCCCGATGTTATTTACATCTATACCCTCCCACTTGCGTCTGCGCACTGTTCTCTAGGGGTCTTCTTTGGGGGTCGTGGTGTGAAGGCTCAAAGTCTTCCTCTCGGTTGAACTTCTTATTCCAGCGCCTGTGCTCTATTGTTTCAGCTACATTGCAAACCCAAGTTGACAGTTAATCCTCTCTTTCTTCCATATAAGGGCAGGAAGGTGACATCCAGGTAGAGGCTGTTCATGGCTAAGATAAGTGGTGTCAGCCAAAGCACCTTAACCCTATACCCGAATACACATTACCCTGTCTCTGTCCCCATACTTGGGTACCTGGAGACTTACATTCTTTCTGACCACCTGTCTACTATGACTTAAGCAAAACTACAATATTATTTATCACATAGAGTTAGCCCAATAGCATGTCTGTGCGGTAGCTGAGATAATTTCCATTGTGCGTTGTACAGCGTTCCTTATGAGCGCTAAAGACCAGGCCAGGTATTAGAGGAAGAAAAGACTTAAATTCCTGTAGGAACTTTCAGTTAATACTTTTGACTGGAATTAGTGATTTCCCTCTGTATTTACTGCTAAACGTCCTTCAGCGTGGCACTGCAAGGAGGGGAAAGTAACAGATGATGAAGGGGGTTACTCCACAGCTACTTGAGCTGATCCTAGTTGGGGCAGAGCAATCCCACATTTCACCTTGTTTTGATAAAGCTCATGCAGCAGAGTGGTCAGCCTCCAGGATGGTGCTGCAGCAGGGAAGAGGCCGTATCACCCTGAGCTTAAAACATCTTAAACTGCTGTGCCTCGGGTGTGTGATGGTATTCTCTAACCAGCTGAAGTCATTATTGAGCTTTTGGGGCTTTGCTTTTATATGCTTATTAAAGTTTTAGGAGTAGCTGCAGGTATCCACACACTTGTGCTGAACATGTAGCATTCTGTCTTTCTCCTTCCTGCCTCCAGCTGGAGGATTTCCTACAGTCCATGGATTACAGCCTTTCTTCCTCTTTCTTAATGATCTACACAGTCCTTTTGCGAGGGGCCGAGAGGGTGCTGAAGTTAATAACTGAGTAATGGTGGAGCATTTCCCAAAGCGCCATTGGCCTCCAGTAACTCTCCCCTTTCAGGAGGAAAGGCAGTCGAGTCTGTTGGCTTTGTCCAAACAAGTTGAGCCTAGTAAAAGTGTCTTGAATCACTTCAGGGTGTATGATGCACATCTCTAAACTTCACCCAACAAAGAAACAGCCTTACCATACAATCTCTGTTATCTCTGAGTGATACTTAGTCTGTCTTGACAAACACTTATCTTCAAGAGATGAATGTTGGTATGAAGCACAACTCATATTTTGTAAGAGGAACTTGTAAAATGTTTCTTCATAAAATGGAAGTTAAATTTAACATGGAGTGTGTGAATGATAGTTTTTATGCCTAATCTGTACTCCATCTCTGTTACTCTGCTTTAACAGTGCCTTCATGTTCATTGTCCTGTAGATTGCCTGATTAATGTGCCTTCTCATTGCAAAAATAGATGCTTGTGCTATTCTAATTCTCCTGTTGTAACTCAGAAGTGCGGTGAGGACCCTTGCCTGTAGCTGCAATGTCTTGTGCTGCACAAGGGGCCGTAGCAATCTGACAAGCAATCTGTATGCCACATTGTACAGCTGATTTTAATGCAGTGAAAATGTGCTGCTACCCATGTATGTAGTTCAGTGAGAGAGAACAAATTCATGTGATTCCATGTACCAGATAAAATGTTGTGTCTGCTTAGCCGTTTCTTACATCTAATTATTTATAAGGCAGTCTTGGCCACAGTGTATCATACGTTGCCAGTGACTCTTACCAACTTAGAGACCAAAATGGCATTTCTAAGCAGGGCTGGTACATGTCATGGTTTTGCTTAAATCTCAGAAAAATGGGAAATAGGGAGAAGCAATTAACATCCAACAGTGCCTTGTGGCCTTTAGAATAACTTCGAATTTTGGTGAGGCCTCGAAAACCCCCTAGGTTTCTTGCATTGTAATTCTGTTTTCTGTTTTACAGTATGGCTTCATCAGACAAGAATAGGTCTCAGTTTATATGATGTGGCAGGACAGGGCTACCTCAGAGAATCAGTAAGTAAATCTTGATTAACTTAATGTCTGTTTTTACTCAAATGACAGCATCAGAAAGGCTCCAATTTTCTTCTAGTCTTATATCATAAAAGCTTATATCATAATCTAGATTTGGAGTGGGCACATTTGTTTGGATAAATAGCAATCTCTATATTCTACAGATGTGGTGGTCAGAGTGCTGCTAGCCTTTTTAACATACAGTCAATTCTCTGAAAAAGAGATCATAGATACCAAGGTTTCATGTTATTAGCACTTTACTAGATTTATTAGGATATAGTAGAAATCACAATAAAAGATGGCTAGTGGGGCCTCAGTGAATTACTCTCCTGTTCTAACAGGGGTTAATATTATATAATAAATAAGGTTCTAGTTACCACTATACTTAAAAAGATCTATTAAAGAATATTCAGCAATAGGATAATCCAATTAGGAGTTATGCATCGGTATTTGAAAGGTACAGCTGAATGCATTTACATTTACATGTAAATATAGTCTGCTTTGTTAATACTCTGCTTTATTTGTAGACTGTTTCAGTTATGGCATCACATGTGCATGTATATGACCTAGGATTTCTTGCATGGAGACAGAAGCTTTTTTGCCTGCTTTCATGCTCTTCCCTGCATTGTTGCAAGATTGTATTTTTAACAAAGTAAATTTGAAAGCCAGGGTGGAATATAGCAAAGATGCAACAATAGTAGCGTTTAAAGCTTGTGTTCTTTTCTTTCTTAATTCTGCAGGATTTAGAAAACTATATTTTGGAACTCATCCCTACTTTGCCACAACTGGATGGTTTAGAAAAATCTTTTTACTCCTTCTATGTCTGCACAGCAGTTAGAAAGTTCTTCTTCTTTCTGGATCCTCTCAGAACAGGTAGGTCCATGTTTTCAAAATTCTAAATATGTGGGAGTATTTTCACTTTTAAAATGTTTCCACCAAAGCTGCTTGTGTTTTCAAGGTGATATGGATATGTAGTTGTCTTTGTAGGCTCTCATTTAGCAATCTTGTATTTGAAGATCAATCTCCACTGAAGACCAGGAATCTTTATGTGGGTTTAATGTACTTCTACAGCTAATGAATTTTAATGAGAAACCCATCTGTTGTGGTACTATAGAGTCATCTCATAGAAACTGACAAATAAGATATTATTTCATCATAATGCATCATTAGCAGTAGCTAATTTTTTAAGTGTTTGGAGTGAACAGAAAACATCGCAACTAACAGAACTGCTTGGCAGAACATCCACAGAGCTGTGGAAATACTTGAGAATGCTTATTGTGATGTGCTTCTCCTGTGATTAAATTTGAGTGCACCATGTAAACTCATTAGAAAAGGTTTGCAGTTATGGCTGCTAATCCTTATTACAAATGTAGCTCCCTCGGACAACAGTTGGCTTTTTCCTGTGCCCTTGATTTAAGTCACAAACTGCATGTGTTTTCGAGCTCTAGCTGTGCCACTCAAAGACACCAGAGTTGTGTGGGCAGTAGTCTCTGGCAGAGGTAATTACAAACACGTAGAAAGGGTGTATGTGAAGTTATAAGGCCACTATTTTGCACAGCTGTTTGTGCAGTGTCTGTACACCAGCAGAAGTGCCTTCTGCCACCTTAGCTTTGTGTCACAGCTGTAGTTTCTAAAGATAGAAAAATATCACATTGCTTAAGAGACTATTATTCCAACAAATGTTTTAAGCATGCTTTCTTTGCATTTTTTATTTTACATTTTAAGTTGATGTTGAACACTGGCTTTTTTTATCTAGTTTTCTGGCTGTTTAAGGCTTCAGGATATCTCATCTTCTGCCAATATCAGGCTAGTTTTGTTCAGTTGTTTTAAAAACTATTTTAATTTTATCTCTTAAATTACAGCCTTATCCTTGACCTTAGAAGATAGTTTTGTTTTGTTTTTTAAAAAAGGCATTTTCTTGTACTCAGAATACTTTTTTCTTAAGTAGTGTCACCCAAATGAGAACAGTCAAATGTTGGCTGTGTGACTGTTAAAATGTGTTTTCCTTTTCTTGCTGCAGGGAAGATAAAGATACAGGATATTTTAGCTTGCAGCTTCCTGGATGACTTACTGGAGGTAAAGATCTCTTAGCATATACTATTGGATTTTCATTTACTCTTTCTGAATTCTAACTTTATGTTTCACTTAGTTAAGGGATGAAGAACTTTCTAAAGAAAGTCAGGAAACAAATTGGTTTTCTGCTCCTTCTGCATTAAGAGTTTATGGTAGGTTACTTTATATGTGAACGCTTTTTTTTTTTGCTTTTTTTTTTCCCTCTCCTCTTTGCCTTGTGTGACTTAGTCACGTTCTTAGCGTTATTTTTCCGCTGTTTTCGTACTCTTCAAATCCTCCTGGTAACTTGTCTTTTCAACTCCTGTAGCTGTCCTTTCAGTGTATCTTCCTGATTTTACAGTTTTGGTTCTTTACCACCATTTTATCCTTTGTCATTTTGTGCTTGTTGCACAAGGCACAAGATTCCTCTGTAACCTTCTCTTTTGACCCTTCTGTTCATGCTTTTGCATCACTTTTAGCTCTTTTTTTCATGCTTACAGCAGATATATTTAAAATAATATGCTCTTAGTCTTTTGCTCCTTTCACTGTATACACAGCCTTTACTTTTAAGCCATTACTTTAGAGTACAACTATTAGCACCTCGTTATGGGAATCCTGCATTCCCCATACTCTGTGCTCATTTATGATGCTCTATGAATATTAGTGTGATGTAGCATATTCCCACTTAACTGTGTTAACTCTATGGTGAAAATTAGATAAATGTTTAAAAAGTGCTAAATTTTCTTTCTCTGTTGAAATAGTTCTTTGCTGATACAAGGATATTATGTTTTGCCCTCTGTATCTCCTCCCTAGGCCAGTACTTAAACCTTGATAAAGATCACAATGGCATGCTCAGCAAAGAAGAACTATCCCGGTATGGAACAGGGACTCTGACCAATATATTTTTGGATCGCGTCTTTCAGGAATGCTTAACTTATGATGGTGAAATGGTAATCACATATTTTCACTCTGTTCACAATATAAAAGCTTTGGCTTATTGAGACAGGAAATGTCTCTAACCAGTGTCTTTACTGTAAAGAGTAGCTTGAGCTGTGAAAAATGGGAAGTTTAACTAAATTAGAGTTAAAATAAAGACTTGTATCTATATTTATTTTGAGAGCTTTACTTAATGTATTGCTACTCTTGTTGTCTGCATTCAGATGACTTGAACTCTGAAAGTGATAAATTACAAATTCACTATACAGTCCTTTTGATGACTTAGCAGTTTTTTTGTAGAATCACAGAATCATTGAGGTCAGGAGGGATCCTCTTAGTTGCCCTTTGCTGGACTTGCTAAGGTAGGTCCGTGTCTCTCTTGTATGGGGGAGACCAGAACGGGACCTGGTGCTCAGATGTGGTCTAAACAGTGCTGAGTAGAGGAGAAGGATCACCACCTTCGACTTGCCAGCAAAGCTCTTCCTAATGGAGCTCAGGATGCTATCAGCAGCCTTTTCTGCAAAGGCACGTTGCTGGCATGTGTTCAACTTTGTTGCCCATCAGGACTCGCAGGTCCGTCTGTGCAAAGCTGCTTTCTGGCTAGTCAGCCCCAAGCATGTACTGGTGCATGGGGTTATTGCTCCCCAGATGCAGGATTTTGCGTTCCCTCTGTTGAACTTGATGAGGCTCTTGTCAGCCCATTTTTCCAGCCTGTCAAGCTCCCTTTGAATGGCAGCACAACTGTGTTTAAGGTAGACAGGGTTATTATATACATAGGGACTGAAGGATTTCTGTCCTTGTCACAACTGTATCTTGATTGGGAAACCAAGAATCAGTACTAGTGAAAAAGCAAAGTGTGATACATATTTGTGATGGCTACTAATACTTCTACCACATGATTTGCCAAACTACCTACTCTGGTCTAAAGATTGTATACTTTAATTGGCCGTATAGTTCACCATTTTTTTAACAGCAGGCTTACTGCCACCAGATGTTTAATTTGTGGTAAGGAAAACTTTTTATATGGTTTTTCACTAGTTGGGTATGTTTAACAGTCTAAAGATGTATTAAACATTGTTTTAAAGCATATATAGTATGTTTAATTTGGATTTATGCTTGGAATCCTATTTTACCTCTAAAATGGCAGGATTTCCTATCAGCAGCAGTCATTAAAAACTAACTTTTCTGTTCCTGTTGGTGGTAGCAGCCATTTTCTGTCTCGTGTTGTCTTTTTCAGAAAATAGACTGATCCCCTACAATGAAATAGCTGCCAATTATAAAGTTCCTGCTTGCAAAATCAATTTAGAAAGAAGACTGTAATAAACATGATTGTATCTACTTTTAGGACTATAAGACCTACCTGGACTTTGTGCTTGCATTAGAAAACAGAAAGGAGCCTGCAGCTCTGCAATATATTTTCAAACTGCTTGATATAGAGAACAAAGGATACCTGAATGTCTTTTCCCTTAATTATTTCTTTAGGGTAAGTCTCTTTGTACAGGTAGGCCATTTTCTGTGTTTATAGTGTTATAGCCTGTGTGCTTCTGCATTGCAGATCTGCAGGGAATCACTTTAAATTACCCGTACCCACTGGGAGGCTGGTAACTACTTCTTAGAAGATTTAAAATATTAAAAAAAAAAATATTCTGAAACTTGGAAAGAATTCAAAAGGTATTTTCAACATTTTATCTGCAGTTGAAATTAACTGTTTTGATTTCGTTTAGGAAAAATATTTTCTATTGATTTTTTTTTAAATCCAAGTTTTCCAAAAAATGCCTAATGATTACCTATTAAAATCTCTTATGATGGTTCTAATTGGTTACTGCCCATGGTTTGAATTTCCACTGTAATCCTAAAATTCAGTAGGAGAAATGAAAATAATGAAATACAGTGATGGGCCTGTACAGCTGTGGGATTTTTTCATTCAGTGTATTGATTGCAAAAAGATTCTTGCATTTTTCATATTCTGTATCTTTATCTGTTTCTCCGAGAATAGATTTAAAATCAGCTTAATTTTTTTAATTACTGTTAAAATTAACCTAAGGCTTGTAAAGTCTTCTTCCAAATTGTAGTTTGTGTGTGAGTGTTTCTTTGTTTTTCTTCTGGCTTGTGGTGGTTTTGTTTTGGGAGGGTGGATGTTTTGTTGTTTTGTCTTGGTTTTTTAATAGATACCCGAGGTATCTTGGGAAGGGGAATGTCATGCAGTGAAATAGTATTTTTGCCATGGATGGTTTAGGCTGAGTTACGAGTGTGGTGCTTTTTTCATGTACAAGATCCTTTCAGTGATATCCGGACACAGTGACAAGCACTTCAGTTTTCTTTATGTGGATCTTTGTATTATAATTGTAAAAATAAACAAGTCATTGTACTTAGCTGTATGCTCAAAGTATGACAAACAAGGTATATACTTCATTGAGCTCATTAAGTAAAGCATTCAGTTCTGCTCGAGGCATAATCTTATATCCATGTTACTTCTGCATTGTAGTAAGTCTCCAGTTGAACATGAACTTTAATGGTGACTACAGCCACATGATTTTGTAAAAATAAGACTTCTTATCTGGAAGACCTTTTCTAAAAAGGAAAGGCTTTTTAAAAAAAACAAATAAACAATCCCAAATGAAAAAAACACTTTTTTTCTTTTTTTTTTTTGCTTTTAATGTCTTGGAACCATCAAATAATTTGGGTCGGAATGGACCTTTGGAGGTAAAAACAAACAAACAATCCCAAATGAAAAAACCACTTTTTTTTCTTTTTTTTTTTTTGCTTTTAATGTCTTGGAACCATCAAATAATTTGGGTCGGAATGGACCTTTGGAGGTCACCTGCTCCCACCATCTGCTCAGAGCAGGGCCAGCTTCATGGTTAGGTTGAGTTACCCAAAATGTGCCTGGACAAGGCCCTGGGCATCTCCAAGGAGGGACACTCTACAGCCTCTTTGGGCAATGTGTTCTGGTGTCTGATTACCCTGGCTGAGACTTTTCTCCCCTCGCCCTTTCTCCCATCTTTGTCCAATTGGAACGCCTCTTGCTGCAGTTGGGGTCCACTGCCTCTTGCTCTTTCACTGTGTGTCTCCAAGAAGAGTCTTACTGTGTTGTCTCTAACCACCTGCTGGGTAGTGAAAGATAGTAATTAGATTTCCCACACCACCCCAGCTTTCTGTTCTCCAGGTGAATTAATCCCCATCTCAAGCCTCTCCTCTCAGCTGTGCTGTGCTTTAGCCCCCCAGGCATCCTGATAGACCTCGAGTGGGTTCCCACTGGTTTGTCAGTGTCTCATAAAGGGGAGCCCAAAGCTGTGAGGCTGCATCTGGAGTACTGTGTCCAAATGTTGAGTTAGGAGGAATAATCACCTCCTCGAACCTGCTAGCTATGCTTGTACTAATGCAGCACAGTATTTATCTGCCTTCATCACTGCAAGGGCACCCTGCAGATTCTTGTTCAACTTCTTGTGCACCAAGACATCCAGCACCTTTCCTGCCAAGCTGCTTCTAGCCCACTGTCCCCTAGAGCATACTGCTGCGTGGGGTTATTCTGCTGCAGGTGCAGGCAGGATTTTTGTATGTGCCTTTTGAACTTCATCGTGAATTTTGTTTATTAGTTGTGGCTGTGTTGTACACTTGATGGGCAACTGTGAGGCTGGGACTTGGCAATACTAAGGATCCTAGAGAAACTAAGCAATGGCTCGTCTTCTCTCCCTGCTCGCACAGCTCACCATTCCCACCACTTTATCCACTTCTGTTCACATGGCAGTAGGATTCAGGGAGGCCGGGGCCATATCAACTGCCTCTGACTGATTTTTAACAGAGGGTTTTAATTTACAGTTTTTCATTTTACAAAAGCATTACTTTTAGTGTTGTTGTAGTACATAAGTGATTCTAATATGAAAGCAATTTAACAAGGTAATTCTGCGTAAGCTACTGTGTCATAGCTATTTTTGTGCATGTCTCCAGTTACATACCTACTCTATGGCTTAGTTATTGAAAAGGTTCCTCAACTACAGCAGATGTTTGATCATACTCTAAAATGTGTCCCTCCTTTAAACTTTTGGAAATTGAATGTTCTAAGTTTTCCTTGAAATCAGAGCAATTCCTTTTGACTCTTGTGAATAATTTCTTTTCTGCTAGCGTAAGTGTGGGTGGGTCTGCACCTACAGAGGCTATGCTGATACAGCTGTGCTGACAAGGCTATGCAGCTTGTGCTAGTGAAACAAACAGTTTTGTTCATAGTTCAAACCAGTCAGAGGTTTGGTGATGCAACTGTTTAAATAGTACCACATGAAAAGAACTAATAGTAGGGAATATTATTTTGCTCAAAATGAGAAATGCCCAGTTACAGGATGAATCAGGAGAACTCTTCCATGCATGGACAAATGCTCAAATAAACAAATACATCCTCTCCCTCACATCATTATTTGATCAACCAGAATATAGGTTCCATTTTCAAAGTAATTGAAAGTGTGAGTAGCCACACTGCTTTATCTGTCTGCTGTTTGGTCTCTTCCCTCCTCTTTCACTAGTCTGTATTTCACACTTTGTCAGAAGACTGAACCTTCTGGTTCGAGTGTATTACTATCTTAAGCTTTGAGTGTTGAGTGATAATATTCAAGTGTCTGCATGTCTGTTTCCAGAGCGCTCAAGCACTGGTCATAATGAAAGTTGGATTCTTACCGTATTGACTAAGAACTGTGAACCTAGAGTTGCGTATCATTGATTATGCCTTAATTCACCCCTGCCTCACTTGTGGAAGAGAATTGATTGCAAGCTGTACCATGAATGCTTTGTTACACAGCAATACAGCTGAAGATGCAGAAGCATTCAAAAAAGTTTTATACAGTGTCAGTATAATACTGCACTATCTATTCCTAACTTTTTTTTTTCCCCCCTAGGCTATTCAGGAACAAATGAAAATCCATGGACAAGAACCAGTTTCTTTTCAGGATGTCAAGGTTAGTTTTACTGAATAGATTACTATGTGAAATATTTGAATAAGCATTTACTTATATCGTAGTTTCTAGGTTGTTGCATACTTACTTGTAGAGTAGTAGAGATGGTCCAACTTGTCCTACTCATAGGGTTGAAAAGGTCTTTCTATTCAGCAGTTGCTCTGTAAGAAATCTGGTATGCAACTGTTCCAGTATTTTGCTTACTAACAGGCAAAGTACCTGTTAAATACATATTGCTGTACCTTACACTTGAAGATACTAGATATGTCTGTCTTACAGTTCAGGTAAGTGGGGGTGCAGACTGGTGACTAAAAAAATCCTGTCTATAAAACTATTAAAGAAAAAGTTCAACAGTTTCATGTTGCCACTTTGAGGCCAAAGCCTTCCCAGAAAAGCAAATTCTTATTTGAGATGTGGGCACTGAGCACACTGCTCCTATATGTAGCCAGTTATTGTGCTTTGTATCTTAAATGGTTTGGGACTTAACAGCTTTTTTTGTAAATCGATGTGGGTGGCACTAGTTACCCAAAGATCATTCTGTATGTGGTATAAAGTAGCCATTATTCTGCTCATTAATGTGTGGGGGGTTTTTTCCCCAATTTTGACTTCTCTTTCATAGGATGAAATCTTTGATATGGTGAAGCCTAAGGATCCTTACAAAATCTCCCTTCAAGACTTAATCAATAGCAGCCAAGGCGACACTGTTACCAGCATTCTCATTGATCTGAATGGGTTCTGGACGTACGAGAACAGAGAGGTCCTTGTGGCAAGTGATAATGACAGCGCTGCTGATGTTGATGATACGTGACTTTTGAACAGGAGCAGTCTGTATGCATAGAGATATCTCAGTCTGATGCGCCAACTGTTGGAAGCTGGAAACATTCATTATCTGAATGAATACCTCTTCCATTTTACTTCCCTCCCCTTGGCCCTGCATATAATATGAAATGTGGTACATACAGGAATCGCAGAACTAATTTCTGAAACCAAAAAAGCAAGTGTTGTTTAACAGTTAAAGTTATCTTTTTTTTTAATAAATATTTTTGGACTTTATCCCTGTGTACCAAGCCTCATACTTATTTGAACACCCTATTTTAAATGTGAATTTACCCTGAAAGTAAGGCTGTGGTTCTTAGTATCTTCAGCAGTGGCCTGTATCCACTCAGCCATCCCAGGCCTTCTCCTGCATTCTCTATGCCTTCTTCTAATGATAGCACTGCTGAGCACTCGGTTGTAAAGACAAAAGAATTCAGTAAGAGGCAAAGAGTTTAGGCCTCTTTCTTCTGTATGTGTCCAGTTTTAAGTGTCTAACAGAAAGGATAAGTAAATAACTATTGAACTGACTGAGTAATTACCTAATTCTTAAGATGTTCATTAACAGAAATAAAACTGCACTAGCTTTAGGTCTAGTTAAAACTAATCCAAACACCTGTATAAAGGCCTTCACCACCTTCACTTCCTGTGCAACTCAACTGTACAGCTGAGCTACAGCAGTAGTTAAAGCAGTGAAACTCTTAAACAAAGCTGTAGAAATATTTCAAATTTTCAGATAAAAATTACAGTTGCTCCATGCCAGAGGTGGTTGCAGTCCTGCACTACTTGTCTGAGGTAGTGCTGAACACATTGAGTATGTTAACAAGTACTACTTTAAGGAAGGGGTGGGGGTACTATCCTATTTTGAATTTCAGTGCTTGAATATTCCATCAGGAGGTGTGACTCAGTAAAGATGAAAAGAGTGAACAGGCACATGCTCCTGTGTGTGCAGGCATAATTTCAAAGACCACACAGTTTTAAAGGAAAAGCCATAGCCAACTTCCAGTTCAAAAATTATATTAAATATAAAATAACCAATTAATGCATTTACAGAAAAATTAAACCATTATGAAAGTAAACACTTTCATAGAGTTTGCAAAAAAATGAAGGAAGGATTAAGTTAAGGCACAGTGAGTAATACAGTATTTTATACAAAGAAGTTTAAACTCAAGGCAGTGTGAGAGCATTTCTGATGCAACAGATAGTAGGGAGAGGTGGGAAAAGAACCAGCGCAACTGACATTAATTTCTTGGCAGAAAAGCAGTGTCCTTCAGCTGTAAAGGTTTTACTCTTGAGCTTTGTGAGGCTTTCTGTCTTTGACAGTATAAGAAATCCCAACAAGCTGTTTTTCTGTGCATTCCCCAGGTGTTGAACCAAGCTCTCCCTTGCAGATGTTCAGGGCTAAGGCATGATTTTACACAGCTGTCAGCACCCTCTGTCTTACAATTCAAAAAGAGGCAAAGGATAGGGTATCAAAACAGATGGAATAGAACTGATGATGGTTGAATCCTCCTCAGAAGATTTTCTGTAGTGCTGGAATGCGAAGGGCAGATGAGAGGAGAAGGAATTTGTGCTCTACAGGACACCAGTTCAGGCAGAGGCTTGTCTGGAATACATAACTGAACTTTGGAAACTAATAGCCACATTATCTGGCCTCTGATGTTACATCAGGCTCCTTAGTTAGTTGGTAGTGGGACTAAGGCCAGGGACATACAATGATACCCAACACAAAGTTTCACTGAAGAGTGTTTTAAAAATTTTTTTTAGAAATCTTAAGGACAGAAGTAAAGTTTCACATGGTAACTGGTACAGCTGCTCTGCTCCTTTATCTACAATGATTCTCTACAGAAAGTGACTGGGGCACTGACATCTGATTGTCGCAAAGTAAACCATTCACCTTTTACAAGCTACAAGTAGAACGACAGTCATTGCAGTAAAATAGCCTTATTTGGTATCAGGGGCTACTTAAAAGCTCTGGAGCTACCTGTGTTTTACTTTTAGACAAAAATAAAAATTACTGTTGTTGCAGTATTGGAACAGTGTTCTATTTAAGAAAAAGGAAGAATCACAAGTTTGTTTTTGTGATTTCTAGTTATGTGTTCTGTGTGGGGGCGGGGGGGGGAGTCTGCAATGGCACATCCCTTACTGGTAATTTAAACAAATAGTCTGTTCAGGTTATTCAGGTACACTGACTCAGATAATCTATGTCCAAAAAAGCTTTCATAGTTCTACACTGGTACCATACACGGTGTCCAGTGCATTCAGTATAATTTAGCAAGATGTTACTTTATTTCCCAGGACCATTCAGAGCATGTGAAGTATTCAAGCAGGTGGGTCTCTTAACTCTTGGACTTGGAGTGAAAACATCTTACACTGATGCTAGTTCTGTACTTTGCCGCAGCACTGAATGGAGCAGCTGAGCACTATCAGCCTCCAAGAGGGCTGGTACTTGTTAGTAAGTTTTAAGGGTGTTTACAGCCTCCTTTAAAGTATTGGGGTTTTTTTAATTAAAAAAAAAAAGTCAGTAGACCCTTAAATCTAATTAACATTAAATCTAGCATTATCTCTTGACAGAAAAAAATACATGCATACAAGAGTGACAATAAATAGGGGAAATTGGACGCTACTATAATGACTTGTGAGTTACAGGATATTGATTCCTATTAATCTATTCATAGAGAGCTGAGTTGCAAACAATGTGGAAATCAGAAATAGGTGCTTCGGAGTAGGAAACAGCACTGAATCTGCAATCCACAGGTGTTAGAGACACAGCAATTCAAAGAAAAGACATTTTTGCTTGCTTTACACAGAAATAAGCTGACACCTTCAATTTTAGACCAAATGTTTGTAGTGCAATTTTCATTTTAACTGAAATGCCAATTTGGCAGAATGCCTCAACCCTTATTAGGCAGACAGACTGAACAGACATCGCCTAGCTCTCTCCTGATCAATAAGAATGCTAGAAGTTGTACTCCACTGAACAAGTATAATCCTATTTTTCCTGCTTCTTACAGCCAGATTGTGACACCTGACACTTCCTATTTCCTGCATTATACAGAGCTTTACACTTAAGGAGGGACAGGAACTACATCTTGTTTATTTTCCCCAACAGACTGGCGATCTCCCTCATTTTCAAAGTTTACATTCACGAATGAAGTGCATGCTGTTGCTTCAGGCTGGTCTGTCTGGACAGGAGCTTCAGCTTGTGGCTTGTTCTGCTGTTCCTGATGTTGTCTTTCCGCTTCTTCTGACATCTTGTTTTCCTGCTCCTCCTCTTCCTCCTAAAAGTACATGACCAGATTCGTAAGCTAATATTTACTATTTACCACTTACTTACATTCACTTTAAGTCATCCCATAAGAGCATATCAGTTCCTGTAACACAATCACAGTACGGGGGGGTTTGAAGGGACCTCTGGAGATCACCCAGTCCA